TATTATACAGCCATAAAAAGGTACAAAGTACTGACATATATAACCTTACATAAACATTACGCTAAGTGAAAGAAGTCAGATACAAAAGACCACATACTATATGATTACATTTATATGAAATGTCCAAAATAGGCAAATCTAGAAACAGAAATTAAATTAGTGGTTGCTTAGGGCCAGAGTAAAGAGGAATACAAAGGAGTGGTAGCTAAAGTGTACGGGGGAGGAGGTTGTTTTGTTTGTTTGTTGGAGTACAGAGGATTCAGGGATGCTCTACCATTGAGCTACATCTCCAGCCCTTTTTACCTTTTGCCCAGGTTGGCCTAGAACTTGAGATCCTCCTATTTCAGCCACCCGAGTCCCTGGGATTATAGGTGTGCACCTCTGCACCCAGCCAGGATTTCTTCTTGAAATGATGAAACTGTTCTAAAATTGACAGGGGAGTGGTGATCACACATGTCTGTGAATAAACTAAAAGCCAATGAATTATACATTTTAAATGGGTAAATTATATGATATCTGAATCCAACTCAATAAGGCTATTAGAAAGAAGAAAGGGCAAGAGCAAGGAAGCTCTTTTTCCAAAACAGGTAAGAAGAAGCAAAGTAGTAGGGCTCTAGTTTGCAATGTAGGGCAGGAAAACAGAAAGGAAGTAAAAGGTCCAGACAGGGTCACAGGCTGCTCAGGCCAGCAGGATAAGAACAGTATAAAGATCACGGAGGAGTTACAGACTGCCCGCAGGCAATAAAACTCAAGAGGAGGCAGGTAATTATAGACAAAGAAAGCACTGGAGTTCTTCAAGTTCTTGGAAGTAGCAGCATTATGAGTGAGCAGTAATACACACTGAGTCAAGTCCGATTAGGTTCCTGGATATAGATGACTGGCAGAGGGCATCATTACATGTGGCTGCATGATTCTGACCACTAAAAAGGATCGGGATATTGTAGGCAAACGAGCCATGGCTGAATGCCATAAAATCATGAAATGTATTGACTAAGGGAGAAATAGATCTGTTCATCAAATCCCAATAAATCAGCTATAGAGGAATACGCTGAGACACCTGAGAGCAATGTAAGGATAAATAAAAATAAGTGTCCCCAAAAGCCCACATTAAAGGGGCTAGGAGAGTAGCTCAGTGGTGGAGCAATTGTCCACCAAGCATGAGGCCCTGGCTGTGATTCCTCTGAAGCTCCACAGTAAAAAATGCTGGACTGAGTAACGTACACACCCGTAATCCCAACAAGTGGGGAGGCTGAAGCAGGAGGATTGCAAGTTCAAGGCCAGCCTCAGCAACTTAAGGATTTAACAAGACTCTGTCTCAAAATAAAAAAGGACTAGAGATGAGACTGAGTGGTTACGTGCTTCTGGGTTCAGTCCCAAGTCCCAAAATAATAATACAGGTGCCTATTCCTCAATAAAAATGACTTATTGTCATTTTTATTGAGGAATAGGGATGTCTCTGAGTGGTAGAGCACTTCAAAGCAAGCAGGAGACCCTGGGGTTCAATCCCCAGTACCACTAAACATTTAAAAATAAACAGAACTGCTATGAGCAGAAGATAAAAACGTGTTTTCAAAGTATCTGGACAAATAAGAAAGTGAAATGAACCTCCACTTTTTTTAAATTTTTTTTAGTTGTAGATAGACACAATACTTTTATTTTATTTGGGTTATTATTGTTATTATTATTATTATTTACATTATTATTACATTTCATATAAATGTAATCATATAGTATGTGGTAGTATCCCTGGAGCCAGGGATCTACCACTGAGCCACAACCCGGCCCCATTAATCTCCACTTTTAATGATGCCATCAAGTCATTCATCTGAATTGCTGCTAATCTAGATAGAACCCTTAATCTGGGTGAAGGGAAGGGATGAAGCATAAATACCCAGAGGATAGTAGAATGGCTCTGAGAACTCTTTACCATGCCCTGAAGCTCAGGTGACTCAGGGACATCCCATTTATGGTGCATGAACACATACAGCATCTTTAACTGTAAGCCCTCATGCCAGTGTGTCAAGAGGTATCCATCCATGGGCAGCCTGCCATGTGGGTTATTAGAAACTCTAAATGCACACCATGGAGACCATCAACCAATGAAGTCATTTAGCAAGGAGGGAAATATGGCCAGAGAATTCAGTTCTGATCAGACCAAGTACTCACAAACCTCAAAATCACTCCGTTTCATGACAATATATTTATTGCTTTCAGACTCTTTCAAATAAGTAACTTCTTCTACCTGTCAAATACTTTTTACTGCCAACTATGTTTGTATCTATCTTTGGGACCTGAGTAAGGGGAGAGAGAGAGAGAGAAACCTGAGACAAAGTACTTAAAATACATTCTATATCATTAGAGAAGATACAGGCAGAGAGGAAAGAACATAAAGTTTTGTGGTAGAGTGATCCAAAAATGGCTTCAGCAATAGCTCATCCCGGGTACAATTTTGCAATGTGACCTTGACATTCCCTCATCAAGAAGGGGATTGTCCCTCTTTCCCTTATAGCCTGCTTTGATCAATAGAATGTATCAGAAGTGCTCCCCTATAACTCAAAAGACCAGACCCTAAGAACTTCCTCCTTCCTGCTTGGCTCAGGAGAGCCAATGGCCAAACAAACCACCAAGAGGCCATGAGGAAACCCAAGTGAGCCAGTGGAGACAGACAGGCAGAGGACCACTAAGTCACTCACCATATAAGCAAAGCCTTCTAGAACTTTCCAGCCTAGACACAGGTAAATGCAGCTAAGGGAAAGATCACTACATGCAACAGCCCAACCTGTTTCTGACGCACAAATCATGAGCAAACTAAAGAGCTGTCAATTTAAGCTACTGAGTCTTGACCCAGTTTGTTTTACAGCAATAGATACCTGAAACGAAATTGAAGTCCCAAAACAAGGGGAGAATCCTGGCAATGTTATTATGTAGCTATGTGATCTTAGGTCAATGATTTCCCCTCTGGACCTCAATTTCCTCATCTGTAAAATGAGGAGGTTGTACCAGATGAGCTAAGGTGCTTCCCAGTTCTGACAGTCTGAACCATTCATGTGGATATCAGCGAACAGTCCAGGCAACGCGAGTGCTAGGAATTCAGAGAGAGAAACTGCTTCAGTATCCAAGTCACTACTTCAGGAGCGGAAAGAGCTATGGACCTAGAATGTGAGGCTCAAAAGAGGCAGCAACTACAACAATGCAGGCACATAACACTCAATAAAAAAAATCGTCATTATCTGATGAATCAAATCAGTTCCTTGATTCTGGACAAGTTAATCTCTCTAATCCCCAATTTTTTTCATCTGAAAAAGAAAGGAGATAAAACTAATGTTCCTGCTTCTATAAGTGAAAACATCTTTGTATATGAAAGCTTCATAAAAATCAAAATCATCTAGAAATGCAAAATATAACTATATTATTAATAGTTTTATTATTCTTTACATCATTGTCTTTAGAAGCCTCTTTTTCACCAAGCAAACAGAGACAGCCAGTTTTAAATGTTTAGCGGTACTGGGGATTGAACCCCAGGGTCTCCTGCTTGCTGTGCAAGTGCTCTACCATTCAGGGACATCCCTATTCCTCAATAAAAACTGGCTGTATCAAAAGATGAAGAGGGGCCTGGGGCTGTAGCTCAGTGGCACAGCACTTGCCTAGCATGTGTGAGGCACTGGGTTCGATCCTCAGCAAAAATAAATAAATAAAATAAAGACATTCTGTCCATTTACAACTATAAAAAAAATTAAAAAAAAAAAAAAGATCAAGAGGCAGGTTCTAAGGGGCCACAAAATTTCAGCCATGTGAGATCTGACCACCCCCCAGCATTGGTCAGTGAGCCAGGTATCCATACTGAACACAGAGCCCTGGTATCCCTTACAAGAAGCTCTTAGCCCAAGGGGAAATCTGGAAACAGCCCAGCATCTTAAAAGTGTGAATAATTGCCAGGTGTGGTGGTACACATCTATAATTCCAGTAATCCAGGAGGCTGAGGCAGGAGGATCGTAGGTTCAAAGCCAACCTCAGCAACTTAGTGGGGCCCTAAGCAACTTAGCAAGACCCTGTCTCAAAATAAAAAGGACTAGGAGTGTGGCTCAGTGAAAAAGTGGTTCAATCCCCAGTACCAAAAAAAAAAAATGCAAATAATTATGAATAATTTCCTATATCAGAATCCTAGAGATCAGCAACCTGAGGATACTGCTCCAGAGAGCTATGAATCAAACCACTGCCTGGCATAGAGTGAATACTCCATAAAAATCATTGAATAAGCAAGCACTGGATTTAGGAGTCTGAAGTCAAATCTCTAAGTTTAAACACTAGCTTTGGCGCACACAGCTGTGAGCAATGAGGCAGGCAACAATCTCCCCGTTTATAACAGACATGGAGATTCATCTCGTAGAAAAGTGAATGAGAATTAAATGAAGTATTGCAGGTGAAAAACACGTAGGATTCTGCTTAATTAGTACATATATGGTTTTTTTTTTATATATATATAAGTGCATAGAACCTCTGCATAGAACCCAACCCTTTCAGCCTCACCTGGGTGCAGTAGTGCACATCTGTAATTCCAGCAACCCAGGAGGCTGAGATGGGAGGATCACAAATTCGAAGCAACTTAGCCTCTGTCTCAAAATTAAAAAGGAAAAGGGCTAGGGACACAGCTTAGTGGTAAAGTGCCCCTGGGTCCAATCACAGTACAAAAAAAAATTGTTTTTAATCAAAAAAAGAACCTTTCAGTCTCTGCAGACCCAGAAAATGAGAGGCATACATCCAAACAATCACTCCATCCAATGTTGATTCTGAAAAATTGCCAGCCCTTGAAAGAGGAAGTCTTGGGCTCATTTTCCAAGGGTACCTGACAAGGCGATGATACGTTTATATTTTACAGCCTGTGTTTTCCCACAGCAAGGGGAGAGCGTGGTATGGATTCAACTCTGAAATCCCAGTGATTGGGAAGTTTCATGGACACTGCTCTGTAGGAGATGTGAAAACCAGCCAGAAGAAGTACTTACCAGGTGCATGTGAGACAGAAAAGCTTCTGCTTCCACCTCTACTTGGGTCTTGACTGACACAATGAATGTACCAGTGTCCAACATCAATTACAAAGAGCTGGGAGTTAAGACCCGAAGTCCTCACGATCAGCCTTTGCCCAAGGAAGCTCCACCACTGCCTGTACTGTGTGCCCTTGTCCTTTCTTCTCTCTCTTGCCCCTCTCGAAGCAGAATCACTGGTCCCCATGCCTCTGCATTAGGAACTCAGCTAAGATCAACTATGGCTGTGCCTCCTCTTAATGACCACCACCGTCTGCCAATGCAGGGAAGTTACTATAGGAACTACATCACACAGCCCCCAGACATTTGCTTAGAAAAGAAACTGTATGTTTGGTGCTGGGAAAGGAAGAAAAAGATCCAGCAAGTTGGAGGCAAGCTCCAAGTTCAGTATTTCTCAAAGTCTGGTTGCAATCACATGAAATCACCTGGAATGCTTGTTAAAGGTTCACATTCCTTAGCTCCCCCTAGATGTATCAAATTAAAATTGGGACATGGCAAGAACTGGACCTTTTAATACCCTATGCACACCAAGTTTTAACACCTATTTGAGACCAAATACAGAGGACAGTAAGAAAAGAATAAAAAGACTTAAAGACGCTTTAAGTGTGACCTCCATTCTTTTGCTAATTCTTACAAAAGAGAGCACTGGTGAATCAAACAAGATAAACGCCAACTTCCCGACTGATGTACTTCTGGATATCTAAAAAAATTAAATCATCACTATGATGAAAACTTTAACATCAAAAACCTGTTCACCAGCTGGGCTTGGTGGCGCATGCCTGTAATCCCAGTGGCTCAAAAGGCTGAGGCAGGAGGATCACGAGTTCAAAAGCCAGCCTTAGCAACTTGGTGAGGCCCAAAGTAACTCAGCTAGACCTTGTCTCTAAATAAAATATTTTTTAAAAAGTAAGGGGGTAGGGGCTGGGGATGTGACTCAGTAATTAAGTGCCCCTGGGTTTAATCACCAGTACCAAAAGAAAAAGAGAAAGAAAAAGAAAGTTTGAGGTGATTCTGGACAACTTGGTGAGATCCTGTCTCAAAATTAAAAATAAAAGAGCTGGTAATGTGGCTCAGAGGTGAAGAGATTTCCTAGCATGTATGAAGCTCTGGGTTCAATCCCCAGTAAAACAAAATTAAAATGCTCACCAAACCAGCAAGCCACAACAAAAACTAACCCAAATATCCCATCTTAGGATCAGCCAGATCTACTCAAGAGATGAGAGAAGTGAGATAAGCTGCTGCTTGCAGTCCCATTCAGGTCCTAGCCATACCCAGTAATTCAGCTCTGCATTCCATGGCAGGGTTTGGTGACTAAGTAGTGGGAATGTCTCCCCTAAGCTCTAGCCAATGTGGTTTGGGGGGAATTTTTAAGGGGAGAAAAAAATGAAAACTAAGATTCCCCAATTCATCTCCTTAACAAATGAAAAAAAAAATCTTAAGATAATTGACTACATTAAACACATATCAGATGCTTAAAAAAATGCTTTGTGATTGAAATGATCCTTGCATGAGATGCTATCCTCCTGTATGCACAGTCATGAAAGAGGAAAAAGAGAACAGAGTAAAACTGTCTCCACATAAAAAGTACTGTTTTCAAAACCTTCAATACCCAACCTACCTAGAGGGGCAATACTTTATTTCATTTAGTGACCAGCACATTCTAGACGCTGAAAGTCCCTGAGCCTTTAAGTCACCAGAGAAGTCAAGTGGTATGAAGCAGGAGGAGAGAGTCCTTTTTCAACAGAAAAGCACTCTTTCTCAGCGATGAGCAGTGGAATCCTCCACTGCAATTTCACAAATCAGAACTCGCACTGAGGGAGGTACATCACAGGGACCAGCCTTATATACACCTGATGGTCCATTATTGACTTTGGCCCCACCCCTCCCCAAAAATGGACCTAGGACTTTCCCCCCGATGCTGAAAATTCCCATCATCCCAGCTAAATTCCTCGGCAGTAGATGCTAAAACTTAACATTACATACAAGGGTAGCAAACAGCTTTCACCCACTCACTCCGGAGGCCACCCTCAATTCAATGACTGGTCATGATTTAGAAACTGACATAACACCTGGACCCGCCTACCCGGAATCATCATAAACAAACAAACAAACTGTATTCTCTTCCTCAATCAGGAAGCAAGCATTCCCCTTTTAAAAGACATTCCTGAAAGCACCTCCCAAGGGAGCCCAGCAAGTAAATAACACCAGGGCTTCCTTAAACCGATTCTAAAGAACCAGGTGTCCACGCTGCGCTCATTCACCTGCCTCTCCTCCAAAGGACGGTTCTGCGAAGTAACTCAATCCAATCCTAGGCAGGCAAGGATGGGGGAGACTGCAGGTGGAAGGGGTGGGGGGTGAAGCAATGCAGCTCAAACTTTGCAGTTGCTCTTTAGCAGTTCTGGGAGGGAGCCCGTGGAATTTTATATTGAAAAGGGGGAGTCACCTTCCCTAACAGAAAGGTCCGCAAATTGGCCTAACCCACTTGCTCTGAGTTTAGGATGGTTGTGCATCCCATCCACTCAGACATAACCCCTCCGGGGCACTACCCTCCCCATAACCCCCTCACCTTGGCCTCAAAGCAGATGCCGTGCTGGAAGGCGTCCTCATTGTGCAAGGGGATCCTCAGGTCGTGCCCATCGTCCACAAGGTTGTACTTGGTTTTGCTGGGCATGGTGACCCACGATGGACACGCTCCTCCAGAGGCGACGCTGGCTGCAACAGCAGCAGGAAGGGGCTGTCTAGACCCCGAGGAGGAGAGACTGGGACCGAGTGAAGCGGCGTTGGCGGGGACAGCGGGACGCGGGGTGGGCAGCGCCCTGGCCGCGCGGCTGCTGGGCGGCAGTGGGAACCGGGACCCGGAGCTGTGCCTAGGGCCAAGCGGCAGCGGGCGGCGCGGATGCGGGCGACGCGAGCGGCGCTGTGGCCGCGCTATTCCTGCTGGCGAGGAGGGCGGCGGGGGAGGCGGTGGCGGGAGCGGGCGGTGCGGCGCCCCGGCCCGGAAAAGGGAGCGGTGGGCCCGCGGCCCAAAGCGGGAATGGGCGCGACGCCGGCCCCAGATCAGTGGCGCGGACAGCCCGGGACGAGGAAGAAAAGGCGGTGGCGGCGGCGGCGGCGGTGGCGGCGGCGGAGCGGGGTGCCTGTCACGGAGACGCCGGATCAGCCGCCAGCGAGCGGCTCCTCCTGCGGGGCGGGCCCGGGCCGACTCCTCCCGCCGGGCGCCGAGGCCCCGCCCGCCGCCGGGTCCGCCCCCGCGCGCCCCGCGCCGCCTACGGAGCAGGTGAAAGTCCCCGGAGCGCGGCGCCGGGTCCTGCCTGTTTAGCCTGGCCCCGGGATCCCGGGAACTTCGCCCGGCCCCAGGCCGCCTGGAAGCCAGCTCAGCCCTGTTTTCGCGTTTTACCGGCAATTTCTGAGCCGGGCGTAGTTATCAGCCACGTAGCCTAAGGTTTGTTTTTGTTTTTGCTTTGTTTTTAGAGAGTGTAGAGGTGGTGGTGTTTTGTTTGACCAGGAAGGCCCATGTCTTGTCCCATCTATCCCAATCTGGGTCCCACTCATACTCAGTTCTGCTCCTAGTCGAGGAATGGGGGTAAGGGGGAGCAGTTGTCTTAGGCACTTTTTGTCCCTCGGGGCAGCGATATGTCACTTGTGTTTGGAGTTTGGGTAGGGTGCCTTTGGGGGGAATTTAAATATTTAAAAGTCGTCACCATCCTTGAGGAAATGGGGTAGGCGGAAAAGGAGTACAAAGGACCAAAGGATCTAGAATGTTTTTATGTCCTTAAACAACCTTCTATAACTAGGTTGGACCAAATGAGCTTCCAGGTTATCTCTGATTGGCATATTATTGTTCCTTTCTTGAACAATGCTCGAGTTGTTAGATTTGCCTATTGTAAAGAAGGGGCTATTCATTTTTCTCCTTTACACCAAAAGTTTTCCAGAAAACTTGCCTAGTTATTTCCATCTCAGAAAAGATTGGATAATGGAAGAATTATAAGATGAATGTCCAGTTTCCTAACTGTAAATTATGCAAATGATGGACCCATAGGAGGCATTAATGACCAAATATTAAGTATCTGACAAAAGAGCATAGGTAGATACATATCACAGGTACAATATATGTGGCTTAATATTACTCCATAATATCCAGAAATAACCAATCAAACCAGTGCCCAAGCCAGCCAAAGCTGAATTACTTAGACAAAATGGTCAACTCTTTCATGGAATTAATTGCCATAAACTTGCTTTCCCCCACCAGCCCTACTGGCTACTAGGGGTTGAACCCAAGTTCTTGTACATGCTAGGCAAATAATGAGCTATATCCCTAACCCTTTTTATTTTATTCTGAGACAGTGTCTCACTTAATAGCCCAAACTGGCCTCAAATTTATGATCCTCCATGCCAGGCCCCATGGCACACACCTCTAATCCTAACCACTCAGGAGACTGAAACAGGACTAAGCAATTTAGGGAGATTCTGTTTCAAAATAAAAATATAAAAACAACCGAGGATGTGGCTCAGTGGTTAAGCACCCCTGGGTCCCCAGTACCAAAAAAAAAAAGTATGCATATTAAATTTTATAAATCTCTGCATGCCTGTAATCCCAGTGACTCTAGAGGCTGAGACAGGAGGATCTTAAATTCACATCCAGGTTGGGACCAGGATGGGAAACTTGGTGAGACCCTGTCTCAAAATAAAAAAATAAAAAGAACTTGGAATATAACCAGTGGTAGAGTGTCCCTGGGTTCAATCCTCAATATCACAATTAAAAAAAAAAAAAACTGTGATCCTCCTACCTCAGCTTCCCAAATTGCTGGGATTACAGGAGTGTGTCACTGCCCTGTGCAACTGTTGACCTGCTTTTAATGCCTGTGGGCACATCCATTGAAGGCCACTCATAGACCAGACATCACTGATCACTTTTTGTCTAGGCCAGCCTGGGAAATCACCAGGAAGTATCCTGATGAAACTTCCTGAACCATTTCATGATAAATTTACATAAGAGAATGCATTATTACGGTAATTATATTTCTCATCTTGCCCCATAAAGCTAAAGTACAACTGCCCTTTCCTGCCTATTGCTATTCCCTATCTGCTGAAATCAGTGGTCAAGTGGTAGTAACTGCTGGAATAGTTCCCTAAACAAAAGCAAACTAATCCCTGGGACAAATTAATCATATGCATTGTGCTGTAGATTTTATTATATTCGTAAATATTAGTAAGAACCAAAAATAATTTATAGTGAGGAGGTGCACCACTAACCTTTTTATAAATACAGGACAGAAAAGTCTAATCAGCCATGTTTGACTCTTTGAATGTCACTGTGGTTTTAATATGCAGAAATGCACTCTATAAAACCTGGCACAGTAATTCAACAACTTAAAGGCAAAGCCTTAAGTAACAATTTCATTTACATCTCATATTCTCTCCCAAATTAAAATGTCCTCTGACTCCAAGTGGCATTTTTTTTCTAGATTAACTTGTTTTGTTTTGTTTGCATTTCTGGGGATGAAATCCAAGCACACTCTACCACTGAACTACATGCCCAGCCTTTTTATGTTTTTTTATTTTGAGACAGGCTGTCACCAAGTTGTTGAAGCTGGTCCTGAACTTGTCAACCTCCTACCTCAGTCTCTTGAGTAGCTAGGATTACATGTATGCTGACCTGCCCAGCTTTAACACATTTTCTTGTTTATAGACAAGAAACAAACAAAAATGTAGAAGTCCCAGAGCTATTTCAGGGTTTGGCACAGAAACTACCACATAATAGACATCTAATAAATTATTTATAGAACTAAATAATAATAATGGCTAATTCTCATTAGCTTTCTCTGTATCAGGCATTGTTCTTAGCATCCTATAGGTATTATCTCATTTAATATTCACAACAACCATAAAGTAACTTCCATTTTACAAAGAAACTAAAGCACAGAGGAATTTGCATAGCTTGCCCAAGGTCACCCTTACAAAGGAAAGGAGTCAGGATTTGAATCCAAGTCAACTGGATGGCCGTGGCAAGCTTCATATTGAAAATGAAGTCAAATTCAAGGTCTATTTTATTTAGGTGTGTTTTGTAAGCTAAGCTATATTTATTATATTTCAGTTAGATGAAATGTTCCAAAAAGGGGAAGCCTTTTCTCTACTTTGATTTCAACTAATATAATGTCAGGGCACACAGGTATGTGTGTATCTTCCAGAAACAATGGACATCCAAAGTAATTTCCTTTTCCTTTTTTTTCCTAGCTCTGATTTCAATCTTGCCTTTCATCATTAAATATAGCTGAACTTCACCCTCAGAATTTCCATATTCATAAAAAATGAATTGAGTATTCTTATAGTGAATGACAGGTACCTATAACACTTTCTGTATCTATTTGTAGTATAGACATTGCATAATAAAAACTTGAAGTGCATTTAATTAAAATATAAGTTGTTGCCAGGCATGGTGGCATATGCCTGTAATCCCAGTTACTGGGGAGGCTGAGGCAGAAGGATCACAAATTAGAGGCCAGCCTGGGCAATTTAGTAAGACCCTGTCTCAAAATAAAATAAAAAGGGCTGAGGGTATAGCTCAAGGGTAGAGCGCTTGCCTAGCATATGTAAGGCCCTGAGTTCAATGCCCAGTACCATAAAAAAAATGTGTGTGTGTGTGTGTGTGTGTGTGTATATATATATATATATATATATATATATATACATATATATATATATATACATATATATGTATAAAATATACATATATAAATAGATCTCAATCACATAATACTATAATACTTCCTATGTTAACTTTGTTTACATTTTAATTGTAGATCTGAGGATGTAGATCTGTGGTAGAGTAGCTGCCTAGCATGTTCAATGCCCTAGGTTCAGAGATC